TCCCATTAGTCACCAAACTGGCTAAGTTGTTTATCCAGCACATCTACCAAGCTCATGGGGTCCCAGAATGAATTATCAGCGATCACGGGGTCCAGTTCACTGCAAAGTTCTGGAGAGCGTTTCTGAAGTTGATTGGGATGACTCAGGTGCTGAGTTCGAGTTACCACCCCCAGATGGATGGGGCTTTGGAATGATTGAACTCTGTGTTACAACAGTACTTGAGGTGTTTTGTCAGTTATCAGCAGGACAATTGGGATGACCTATTGCCTTTTGCTGAGGTGGCCTATAACAATGCCGTGCATCAGAATACCAGATTAACTCCTTTTAAGATAGCCACAGGGCAGGATTTTGTGCCAATCCCTGAGCTCCCTCAGGAATCCACTCGGGTGAGTTCTGTAGAGTGGATACAACAGGTGACTGAAGTATGGCCAAATATTAAGGCAGCACTAGAAGAGGTAAGAGCAACTTATAAGAAATACACTGACGGTAAAAGATCCCTAGGAAAAGACTGGAAAGTGGGTGATAAGGTGTAGCTATCTACCAAGCATTTGAAATCCTTACAACCCTTGAAAAAACCAGGACCAAAATCTGTGGGGCCATTTGTGATAAAAGTAATCAACCCTGTTTCAGTCCGACTGCAAATACCCCCCAACTTCAAAAGGGTTCATGCTGTGTTCCACTGTGATCTGCTAAAACCTTACAAAGAATCTTCCACATGGCATCCCACGCCACCCACCCCAGACCCCATTATATTTGATGGGGAGCAGCATTTTGAAGTCAAAGAGATTTTGGACACTTGAAAACATCGAGGGGGCTTACAATTTTTAATCCAATAAACACTTCCCTAAATCTTTGGCTGAGTGAGTGGAGAAAAAACATGTTAATGCTCTGGACTTAAGAAGTTTTACCAATGTTATCCAGGACAAGCCTATGTAATCTTTTATTGTAATGTTGTATATACACTATATCTTTATTCTTTTTATTTTCCAGACTGATGATTCCACATCTCTGGAGTAATTCTTTCTTCTGGAGGGGCAGCATGTCAGAATCCTTATTAACCACTTCAGAACTAACCACTTCACTTGCCAGCTTGCTTGCTTGGTTCAGTTCTGTCATTAGAAGACATGGGGAGGGTGCTGGAAGGATCTGGAAAGATGGGTGAACGAATCAGAGACTGAGGAATGTACCAACGAGCAAGTGTGAGAAGTCTGGAAGGTTAGGGGGATGCATAGGGGAAAGGAGGAAAAGGTAAAAGCAACTTTTGGCATGCGCGGGCTTAGTCTTAGCAATGCTTTGGAACTGTACACTTGTTCCCAATAAATGAACTTTGTTTTGAACTATTACTGGTTGCAAGGACAGTTACTGAAGTTGTGAGTTGTGAGCAGATCGTTACATCTGATTTAGTTTATGGGATGTAATTTGACATATAAGAAATTAATGCAATATATTTAGTTTCATCAAGTATAGTATTTTTTTCTGTAAGTATCCATGGATTTAAACGTCAGTTAGATGTGGGCTGTTTAGGAGTTCAAGCTATATAGAATTTTTAAGAGGCATAATCAGATGAAATAAGCAGAGAGTATAATTGGAGAAGATGCTTGGAGATGAATAGTTGAGTTTCTTGTACACTAAAATCTGCAGAAAAGGAAGGGTAATATGTGACCAAGCTTGAAATATCCCTTGGCATCAACAATTTGTATGTGCATGTGTATATAGCAATGCAGTGATCTATTCTGGAGTATTTACACTTTTGTTACAATTTAAGCACAGCATGTAGAAATTTGTATTATCTGAGAATTGGCTGTAAATGTTAATATAAAGAACTGTAGAGTGATTGTTAAAAAAATATGCTTCTGCTTTTTTGTTTTAAAAAGCGATCAGAAATAAATAGGGGTATAGGTTAGAAATAATTATGGCCATGTCATTAACTTTAAAGTACCCCTACTGCTCAATCACAGCATAATATTGCTCATCAACTCTCAGATATTTAAGTATTCTTTCATGATTTTAATTCCTCATGATCTTTAATTTCCTGTTGTCATGAATTATTCAACTATGCAACAAAAATAACATTCCTTCCAGTTAACCTCACATACATATTTAAATTATTTATATATTCCATACAGCATATATAAATTATTTAACTATAAGAAACAAAGCATGTAAAGTACAAGGACAACTTGACTATATGGTGGATGGATTGCTAATAGCATTAAATCTACTCCTACATACAAATTTACTTTGTTCAACTTAACTGTTAACTGGGCACTGGTGCTCCTATGGACATATCCATTGCTGTCTATCAGATTTTATATTAATTAAAAATAATAAATGGGAAAGTGACAGAGCTGTAATTCAAAGCTCAGAACTCTAGCATCAATTTCATTTTATAGGCGTTGTTAAAAAAATAAATATGCCGGGTAACTGCAGCCTGGTGGGTTTTTTTTCTGACTCAGAAAAAAAAAGACAAATATATAAACTCTGGTGGTAGAGGTAACAGAGAACATCGAGAGGGAGTTTGTTGTCTGTTGAATGGGTGTTCTAAGACAGGCCATGTCAATCATGGTAGACATTTTGAGAATAGCTCCTTCATAGCAACCAAGTAGCCATTCCAAATGGGTACATCACCAGTTAAAAAAGTTTGCTTTCCCCTGTGTTACTTGATCCAAAAGCTACATATTAAATACAGAAATAATAGCAGTCAGTAATATATCTGAGGGAATTACATAATTTAAACAATAGAAAATGACTTTTCCATGACTTGTAAGAGAAAAACCACCAATTTAGCTTTATTATAAGTAGCAAAACCCTGGTGTTGCTTAACTGTTGATTATAGTAGGCTAAATTATTTATATTTTACAATGCATATTTTGAGTTAGATCTTGAAACATTTGCAAATGTCTATTCTGCAAGGTTCCTAGTTGCTTTCAGATATAATAGAAAATACAGTTATTTGTTTGTTTCAGTTTGTGCCTTACTTAGGGCACTTAAGGTGGCTAAAAAGGGCATTTCAACAAGGCTCCCCAAACACTCAGAACCAATCCTGGGACAGTCTGCGATTATATTCACAACAGCCATTGTGAAAACAGCCACAGCAGACTTATGCTGCCTCTAGCCTGACACCAGTCTTTTCCTCATCATATTCATTTGTGGAGAGGGGGGGAAAAACACCTTGTCTGAGCACAGAGTTAACTCTGGCACTCTGGAGGCATTGCAGTACAGGGAACTGAAAGGTGGCTGTTGGCAGGAATTCCCATGAATAGGAAAGCCGCCCCGACCAAGTCTCAAATAACAAAAAGGAAGTTTTGCAATCTGAGATTTTGAAACCAGTTTGGCTGTTCAAGGAAGGATATGAATGCTGCAGTGGGGAACTGAACTGGAAGCAATGCAAAACCCCATATGGAAGGGCCACACACACAGAGACACACATACACACACACACACAGAGTGAAAAACAGTAACTATTCATTTCCTATGTGCAAACAAAAGTTTGTCCCACTGCTTGAGACCAAGGCAGGAAAGATACTCTCCCACCTATCTCTCGAATTAGCAGCATGTTATAGCACTCAGACTGATTCTTACTGAGCCTGACAGACAGGCCCTATGTAGTTCATAAGTCTATAAGACTAAAACCAACACTGTGAATTGTGTTGGAAAGCCACTGGCATCCAATGAAAATCTTTCAATATTGATGTAATATCATCTCAGTATCAAGTACACTTTTGCTTCTCAGGATTGTTCACAACTGACACACTAGATACACTTGTGTAAATGCATCTTCGTACTGCTGTCATTTGAACACCAAGTGGGAATCAATGACTACTCTCAGATTGTAGAATTGCTCTTTCAGCAGAATAAACTGCTGAATACATTGAATTCCAATCCCCAACACCCAACTGAGTTTTGTCTGAATTTTATAGTCATGTTAACACATTACACTAAGCATGGCTTAGTGTTAGTTATGATTCACTTCCCCAGTAGCAACAACCAAAGACTCTTGATGATGTCTCCTTATGGTTTCATGTAAATTTTGGTGGCAGTCTGAAAGTCACTGCAGCCTCTTATTAGTTTTGACATGAATCCAGAAGCCCTTCTAAGTTCATAACCAATTTGCACTCTCTGTTAATGCAATTTGTGGTTTTCAGCATCAATTAGCAATCATGTAAGGTTAAGTTTAAATGAAGATACTTCCTTCCTTTTTGCCACCAGTTTGAGGGCGAAATTCATTCTCACCTATTTGTAATGCACTTTTAAAACATTTTTAAACAGGTTTAAAAATTAAAGCGGTGGGGGGAGCAGGATGCGGGAGCAGGAAAACATAATGAAACACATCTTCATTTTTCAGGGAGGCAAGGACAATGGGAGAGAAGAAATTTGCCATGGTATACAGCCTATTCTTCTAAAAAAGATTTGGAAAAAAAGATTCTGCTCCAAGTTGCACAAATTGTTTCAGTCCCCATCCCTTCCAACATGGCCACCTCTTTCTAGCCCATGAGAAATTATGCTTAGTCTGGGACTGAACTCTGAAACTGGACAAAAAGAACCCAACCCTAAAATACATAATAAATGTATGAACTTTGGTAAGAATTAACATTCATTGGCAAATTTTTGATAATTCACATGAACTTTTTGAGTATGCTGTATGTTTCCTCTCATTAACACTGACAGCTGTTGATTGCCACGACTATCATGAATAGAAAACAAGGCTGAATATATTCAAAACCACTGATTCTTCACCATGTTTTGGACATAAATATTACACTGGCATGGGATAAGAAGAAAATGACTTCCTTACACCAGTTCCTGCTAGTTCTTTAAAAATAATCTTGATTTGAATATTATTGTCCTGAATGGCCACAGATGAATTGCTGAACTAATATATAATCAAAATTCTGATATATTTCAATGATCTGCATCACCTTTCTCTTTCTCAATTACTAAAAAGACAAATATTAAAGAAATGCATAATTCAAGTATATTTGCTTTACTAATACATTTACCCAAGACCCATGGTAAGATCATCCACTCGACGATGGTTGGTGGAGGCCCTTGCATATTCAGATCTGACCTGTCAATATGCTGAGAGGCAAGTAGAAGAAGAAACAAGAAAGTCAAGTAGGAAGCAGTATGGCAGATGAATTTGATGAATGGCTTCCTGATGAACAGTCCCAGTGGGCTCTTGGGAGCTATCAAGTAGCAGACTGAGAACACAGGGAAAAGGAATCCAATTATGATGCAAGTCAACATCTTCACAGCCCAGTGGCGTCTCCTCCAGCCTGGGAACTCATCATACCAACGAGAGGCAAGGAGCTGTTGGCAGTTTGGTTGGGCAACAAACTAAAGCAAAACAAAAGGAATAATCAAACCTCTTCCATCTAGTAAATATATAATGTATAATGCAAGAAGAAATTTGAGTAGATTTACTGTAAATTGAATAGATTTAACTAAATATATACTTTTTGTGAACGTCTCTTGATTCTTCTACAGTATGCCTCTGATACAGAAATGGCAAAGAAAATAATTCACTTCTCCAGCTCTACTCAATCTGATGCTTCCTGCCTCAGATGCCAAGCATTAAGACATAATGTGAATGGAACAATTACGTAACAGTTTTCAGGTCCATCTAGACCAGGTTTGTCAGCTTACATATTCAAGGTTAGCCCTGCAAAAAAATCCAGATATTGCTTCCTCTAATTAAAAATGAGATACATTTTTTTTAACTGCTTTGTTTGGGCCTAACACTGAGTTTCATGGCACTGTGGTAATAAAATCAGAGTGTGTGTGTGTGTGTGCATGTACACACACACGCACACACACATACAGGTAGTCCTTGCTTAGCTACCACAACTGGGGTAAACTAAACAAGGACTACCTGAATAAATTGCTGCCTTCGAACCAGTCGTGACTCCTGGCAACTGCCTGGACAAGTCCCTGCAGTTTTCTTAGCAAGATTTTGGAAGTGGTTTGCCCCTGCCTGCTTCCAAGAGCTGAGAGAGAGTGACTGGCCCAAGGTCACCCAGCTGGCTTCGTGCCTAAGGTGGGACAAGAACTCAGTCTCCCAGTTTCTAGCCTGGTGCCTTAACCACTCAACCAAACTGGCTCTCACTATATGTACATAGTACATTATATAGAATAATCAAGGCCTACATTGAATGCCTATTAAATATTACATTATTATTACTAACCACAAGGAATGGTTAGTCTTAAACATTAAGTAAAGTAACAGAACTTAAGAGTCCAGTTGTTTAGTGCATTATTATTATGTCTTCTATGTTTCTGATTCCTGTTTGCTGACAATGAGGTTTATTTTATTTTTTAAAAAGCATATTTGGTATGATGATTAATTTTAAAATACTTTCAGAGCTGAAATGAATTATATAACAGACTTACAAATCATTATAGATGTCCTATGTCATTTCTCATTATTCCTTCTGTCAGCCATACATACATACCCATCACACTATTCCTTTTCAGGCTAAACAACAGAAACGTTGTACAAAAAATAAGAAACTGTAGGCAGAAGAAATTTAAAGCCACGTGATAAGCAAGAAAAGGAAATACTGCTAAATCTAGTTTATGCCAATATATCTCTCCTTTGCTTTTTATCACTGAAAATTATCCCTGCTTCTATTAATTCCATATACCAATTAATGCATTGCCTTTTGTTCTTTAAACTTCTCGCTTGTCTCTTTCTGAGGTTCTCATCAATTTCATCCAACCAGTCAGGGCCAGATGAAGGCCAACTGATGCCTTAAGCACAGCTCAACAATGGTGCCCCTCAGCCCTTCCACTCCTTAACTGAGAAGACATTAAGACTCAGTAAGTGCTGAAGGTGAAATAAGAAATTAAAAATTCCATTTTCTTCCAGGCCATCTCTTCCAACTATATTAAATATAAACTTTTTAAAAATTGTATTTATTTAACACTAAATAGCAGTAAGCATTTACTGTATGGAAATTATTTACTTATAATTAGGGCAATAGAAAAAATGCAATTTTTCAACACTCTTTTTTGCATTTTTTCATAAAATTATTATAAGGGGAAAATGCAAATACAAGAATTTATTGAAAACTAAAGTCAAGTGTGGTAGTGAAAGAATTAAGGGCATGATAGCTAGGGGGAAAAACTCTGTGTGCCCTAAGCATGTGCTTCTTTTGGTTAATGGTTAATCCAGGGGTGCAACCAGAACTTTCTCAGGTGTTCCCCTTCCTATCCCCATTCATCACCTTCATATGTTTGTTTTGCAATTTGCTCCTCATTCATTCTCTATATAATCAAACCTCCTCCCTGGCACTAGTCATTTTTTCATTCAATCCACATTTATTCTTCACTTGTTAATTCTTGATTCAATTTTTTTTTTTTTTTGCTTTACCGTATGCATTCTTGTATCATGTGCCTATTCCTGCTACATTACTTCAAGAGGATCTTGATAAGCACACAGAAACCAACAAGATGAATTTCATTGGGGACAAATAAAAAGTCCTATATTTGGATAGATAAAATCAAAAGTATGAATATAGGATAGTGGAGGATGGCAGACCATTCCAGACAAATGGCTGTCTAATTTTTGTTTGAAAACCTCTAATGATGGAGCATTCACAACTCCAGGTGGCAGGTTCTTGCCCTGCTTAATAGCTTAAGGAGGAATCCTTATTTGAATCTCCCTCTTTTTTTATTACTTTTAAAATAATAACAGAAAAAGAGAAAAACAAAAGGGAATCAAAAATATATGGTCAAAGAAAAAAAATGCATAACAACTGGTTAAAAAAAGGTGAAAAAATACAATGGAAAAAAAAGAAATAAAGTATAATATATCGTTATAATAGTAAACAGTTAAAATTCTATATGTATTTATCTAATGGAAATATTATGCAAGTATGTAAATATTTATTTCTAATACACTTATATAACTATCATGCTTTTTTTAACCTACTGTATTTTGTATAAGTCCCATGTTTCATTATACTTCACCATACAAAGTCTACGTCTATAGGCAATCTGCTCATAAGTGGCAACTGTAATCAGGTCTGCAATCCATTGAGTGAATGGGGCCATACATTTATCTTTCCAATGCTGCAATATCAGTCTTTTGGCCATAGTAAGGGCACAGAGAATCCATTTACATTGGCCAGTTGTCAAATTCCATGTACTAGGTGTGTAATCAAGAGAACATTATCCTCCGAAAATTTTAGCTTTTGTTGCACACATTTATATAGTCTACTACTTTTCCCCAAAACTTAGTAAGTATAGGACATTGTAAAAAACGTGTTTTTATTACATCTCCAACAAATGCTGTCTTAGTCCTTTTTATACAAACGTAGTGGAGTCCAATAAATTCTAAATATTATTTTTTTGTTGTATAAGTTGTAGTTTAAGATCCATTGACTTCTTGCTATAGGAGTTAAAACACTCTCCCATTGTCTAGGCAATATAGGAACCTCTAATTCTTTATTCCACTCATCTCTTAGCCCTGCATATCAAATTTATTGATAATAAATATCTATAAAAACCAAAGTCAATATCCCTGCTTCCATCCAATTTTTCCATATCACCATCTTTTCCCCAATTTTTAATGTTGGGTTTCCTCATAAAGTCAATTTATCATGGGAAAAAGGGTCAAATCTTTTTGTTATTAGACATTCCATTCCATAGCTTTCTAACTGACATAATTGTTTCCAGAGATCCTAGAGTTCTATTGTATTTAGATCCTAATATTGTCATCCATCCAAAGATGCTATATATGTATATTCCAAACTTGCTCAGATCAGAAAATTAACACCACTTGTTAGCTTCCAGTATTTAATACTTGACAATAGGTAAGCTTGATGATATAGCTCCAGATTCAGAAATCCTCCCTCATTTTCTGTAAAGATATTCTTGGAATTGAAGAATGCCATAAAAAATTTCTGAACAAAGAATTTATTTTCTGAAAATATTTTCCAGATATATGAACTGGAATTCCTCTCAGAATATAAATTAATTGGGAATAATATTCATTTTGAGAGCATTCATTTTACTAAAGGCATCTATCATTTGCATCAACACTGGAATAGTACTATGAGGTTTAGAAATAAACAAAAGAATGTAATCTCCAGATAAAACCAATTTGTGTTTAACTGAGTTATGTACTACTCCGTAGATCTCCTTATGTTGTCTAATAGCACAAGCCAAGGGTTCCATGCAAATATTAAAAAACAAAGGTGAAAGTGGACGTCCTTGTCTAGACTCATCATACAATTGACAAAGTTTTGGAATCAAAAAAATCTATAAATGTTTTATACCACTCAATAGGAAATCCATCTAATCCTGGTGTTTTACCACTTACCATTTTTAAAATTGTTTATTTAATCTCTACCTCAGATAGGGGAGCAAATAAAAGTTGTTTTTGTGATTGATCTAAATGTGGGAGGTTAACTTTATTTTAAAAGACTTTTATAGCTTCATTTGATACATTCTCTGGTTTGCTATATAATTCTGAATAGAATTTAAAAAATTGACAATTTATATCCACTGAAGTTTTATATATTTCATCTTTCACCTCTAATAATTGGAATCATTGCCCTATCTTCTTTTGCTTTAGGCAATTAGCCAAGATCTTACAGGGTCTTTCACCATTCTCCTAGTATCTCTGTTGTAGAGAAGTTAGCATGAATTCTGTCTGCTGTGATATTATAGTAGTTAATTCATACTTCTTTTTCTGTATGTACAAAATCGTAGATGGGCATCTAACCGTCTGTGCCCATAAATGTTTCAGTTCAATCTTTCAAATTATTTTCCCTTTTATTTTTAATCTTATTTTTATGTGATGCATAAGGAATAATCCGACCTTGTATATATGCTTTATATGCTTCCCATTCAAACATTCAGGGACTTGATGTTTCTGAATTCAGATCGAAGTATTGTAAGGTCTCTACCCGCATTTGTTGTACAAATTCTTTATCATTCAATAGAGAAACATTGAAATACCAATTTCTCAATAGCTTAACCAGTTTCTGAAACACACATTTCAAGGTAATTGCACTATGATCAGATACATAACAAACTTCAATATTACATTCTTGAATTTGACAGTATAAAGTAGATGATATTAAAAAATAATCAAGCATAAAAAAATTCTGGTGGACACTGAAATAAAATGTATATTCTCTTTTAGTTGGATACATCAAATGCCAGGGATCTATTAAATTAAATTCTTCCATATAAGTCCTGTTTCCTTTACTAATGATTGTTTTTTTTTTTCATGCTGGTATATTTCTATCAAGCTCAGGATCCAATATTTTATTGAAACCTCCTCCTATTATCACTTTATCATAAATACACTGATTCAAGTATCAACA